AGATCAATTAGGGTGCTACTGGAAGCCTTATGAATGGAATCATGGTGACCAGAGCATGGGAAATACGGAGTCATTCTATTTAGAGCTGGGGATACCACACCTGGAGTTTTGTGTTAGGACTCATTTTATCAGATAGAAATAAACTGACCTAGACTAGTGACCATGGCCTAATCACAAACCATTGAAGAAACTGGAGCAGTTCTAACTAGGAAAAAAAGAAAGAGAGGGAGAGAGAGAGCGAGAGAGAGAGGAATTTAGATGAGAGTTGATAGAAGTCTTCCCATATTTGGCCTAGAGTCCCATGGAAGAGAAATTAGACTTGCTTTGTCTACCCACTTACTGCAAAAGCCTGTGGAAATGACACAGATGCATATTTGAAGTCACTATAAGAGGAGTTTTTGTGACCATCCCAGCTGTCAATGGAGTGCTACTTTAAGTGACGAAGTTTTAAAATTATTATTATTCATTACTGCAGATATTCAAAGAGAAGATAAGTCTTCTAATTCAGAGGTTTTCCCTCATACCTCAACTCCTCCTATGACCCTAAGCCTTAACCCCAAATGTCTGCACTGTTTATGTTCCAGACATCTTATTAGTGTCCTTCTCATGGCACTTGGCACCTGCTGTCTTCTAGTGTGGTTATTCAATCCTCCGAGGCTGTCCTTTACTAAGGATAGGAGTTGAATCTACTTCATCTTGCGGTCATTATTACCTCCCTAACGTGGTCTTACAAACTGTAGATGCCTGTGAAGCAGCATCTTATTGCTCCTTCAGAGAACTTCAATGTTGTTTACCCCAGTTTCACTTCCTATTAGCAACATGACATTGGGCAAGCCAATTCTAATCTCTGTGTCTCAGTTTCCTCAGCCACAACACTGAGTAACTAACTGGAGTTTTTGTGACAATCAAATGTGTTAAATCTATAAAACTTGGAGGACAGAGCCTGGCACAGAGCCTGTAAGACATGTCTTGTGTTGTTGTAAATTTTGAGGCCCTAACTCCCCAATGAGACTTTGAGATCCTTGAGGAGATGACCCTCTTCTTGTGTTTGGTCCCTAAACTGTTGTGTGGCACGTGGTAGGTGATTGCTCTCTGCTTGTTGAAATGAATGCCTAAGTACGAAAGGGTGAGAGGGAAAGCCTCGACAATTGAAGATGTTAGAATTTGAGAGGACCTTTGGGGGTCACCCTGAACAGTGAATCCTAAGTCCAACTGCATGTCAGTGTATTTCAGTACTGTTGGTATAAGTTAGAGCGCATGCCAATTTCCATATTCTGGACCCCAGCCTGGAACACAATCTTCTGAGTAGCACATCAGGAATCTGAATCTTACTTGGCTTTCCTAGCGATTTTCTGGCAGCCAGCCCAGTACTTTCCTTTGATTGTCTCTTATTTTATGGATAAGGAAACTGAGGCACAGAGAGGTTGTATTATCCCAGGATCAGGATGCTTAGGAGAGATCAAGTGAGACTAGAACTCAGCTTACCTGACATCTTGGCCACTGGGTCGTATAGGGGAATCTTTGGATTGTGTGAAGGGGTTAGATAGGATAATTTCCCAGATACCTCTGCCATTAGCCAGGCGGTCCTTAGAGTTGTTGAGTGCCTACACATGCCAGCTGCCGAACAGATTTCTGGGATGTCCAGAAAAATGAGACATGCATCCTTTTCCTGTAAGACTTTATAGTCTGGTGCAAGAAATAAGACACCGAAACCATGGTGCAAGGTGGAACATGACAAGGAGGGAGGTCTGGAAAACTGTCCACCCAGTGGGAGCTGAACTGCTTGACCACCATCTTGTGTCCTGAACATCTTGGCAGGAAATTTTGCTCTCTTCACAGGGGCAATCCCCTACACTGTGGCCTCTCTTTCTACTCTTCCACAGGGGGTATACTCACTGGCCCTTTGGTCTAGAGTTCATTATCCGGGTCATTTGACCACTCTGAAGAGACCTCTTTTTCTGCTGTCATAGCTTTCTATCACATGGAGTTTCACTTATGCTTTATGCACTTCTGTATGTAATAAGTAGTACTGATTGCCTGTTACTGCTAACTAAAATTTATTGAGTTAGCTAATATTAATGACATTTATTGAGTGCCCACTATGTAGCAGGTGCTGCTTTAAGTTTTTATCTATGTGAATTCACTTAATCCTATGTCAAAAGAAGAGGCCACTGCTCAAAATCTGAAACAATATTTGAAGTTGAATTTATTGTTTGCTCAACAAGGAAATCCATACATCTCTTTGAGTAAAGCAAAAGTTGAACTTATACAGAGCTCTGGAAGGCACAGGGTTGAGGAATTGGTGGAAATTCAGAAGTCAGAGTTTGGAGGTTGACTGCCTTTCACATTTGGAAGTGTGGTTCCTAGGGTGAGACTTGATGGGCTGACTTTCAGAAGTCAAATGCCTACAAGAAAGGGAAGGAGAGAGCATAGAAAGTGAGTGGCTGCAGCAAAAAGTATAGAGAGGAGAGGAAAGTGAGAGTCTTTATTTGCAGTTTCCTTTCACAGTCCAGAGACCACAACTCAGCTTTCCCTGTTGACCCTGTTCCCTGGTTCTTCTGGTCTCTACTATGTCTTCTCTAGGCCATGAATTATATGAATTGTACTCTACATCTAGCTCATCCCTAGCCAAAGGTGTCTCGTGCTCAGTTAGGTCAGTGAACCTGCAATGGCATCTCAGAGAAGGGGGACATTATCACTCATTGGTTGAAGGAATTTTTGAGTAGCCAACAATTTTTTGTCGAACTCCTATAAAGTGCTAGGCACATTCTGGGTGCTACAGAAACAAAAATGAAACCAATAGACACAAGCTTACACTATTAGAGAGCCAAACCTCTACTGGAGAGACAGATGCTTAGACAAATAAATGAATAAGTATATATGATCTGTCACACGGTGGTCACTTGTTTTGCATTTGATGGTGGTTTGGACTAAGGAGGTAGGGGAGTGGGTAATGAAAAACAGATTCTGGATATATCCTTCATGGAAGATTCTTCCCATTGAACAACTTCATTATTAACCACCATATACTGTAGCAGTTGGATTGGAAGTCCTGGGTATGGATCCCAGAAGGTTATAGTTTGGCCTACTAAACAATCTCCAGAGGAGATTGAGAAACAATCTCTTTTCCAACCTGGGAAAAGGCAGGGGAAGAAAGAGGCACATTATTACATCTGGCAATAGAAATAGAACGTATCTATCAAGGAAAGCGGCATTATCTATATCCAATTCTTCAGTTTTTTATTGTATTTTCTCATAGATAATTGCATGAAATATGGGGATTTCTTAAATTGATTGCTGTGGAGACAAAGATGACTTAAATTTCAATTTCACTGCTTTTCTGGTTGCAAGTGGGTGTTTGACATTTTTTAGTGTGTGTGTGTGTGAGAGAGAGAGAGAGAGAGAGAGAGAGAGAACTCTGAGAGAGCTATAGAGTGGCTGCTACTCCCTGAACAATAAAAACCTGAAATTCTACTAATGAGGTTAAGAAAACTAACTTTTTCTGTATGCCTAATAATAGCACTGCCTACTGGCATAACCAGGGTTCCCTGAATAATTGCCCTCTTTTTCCAGTTTATTTTTAGGATTAAAATTCAGGGGAGGAAAGTGCCTTTAGGTTTACAGTTTTTCCATCTAAAAGCTCAATTCCAAGGCTTCACCATTTGGCCCTAAACCATGTTGAATGCATCCTTTCAAGTGAAAGATAAGTAAAAGTGAAGGATGGAACTAAAATTCATCATTGGAGTTCTGGATGGTTCAGCCTTCAGGGTGAGAATAAAAGATTGATCCTTCGCTGCAGACCCTGTCTTTCCCAAACTGGGGAATCAGTCTGTGCCGTATTTATCTGCCTCCATGGACACCATTTGAGTTTGCCAGTAATAGAAGCAAAGGGTTTATAAAGCCACAGAATTTTACCAAAACATATTCTTTTGAGGAAAAGACCGACTTGGGGGATAATAAATGTTAATACTGCTAGAGCCCTCGGTAAGCATAAAAATATTTGAAATACCTATGGACCACCAGCATATTTAAGGTAGATTTGCAAAATCTAAGTAATGCACTGTGCTGGGTGTGGTGCTGAAAGATAGTTTTTAAAAAACTGTTTCTGTAAATTTCCACAACTCAATGAACATGTATGTACCTTACAGGGAGGAGAGAGAGAGACACTGATTCAAGAAAGAATAAAATCGAATCCAAGCTTTTGGCAGGTATTGGTGGAATATTTAGATTCATTTGCCAGAATTATTTTTGGGGAGGGCTATTTTGGGTAGGCAGTAATCTTTCTTCTCAGATACAGATTTCCATGTTGACTTTTAACCTTTAGTCACTGACTGGCAATTGTACACTCCTAAAGACGTTCTGTTCCATCCTTCTGCCTGTGCCCAGACTGCAAGTTTGAAAAGTTTGAGATCATCAAATGTGGGTTTACACCAACCATCACGCCACTCACTTTCTTTTATTCTCCATTCATAGGAGAGTGGCTGAGTACGTGGACGGAGGGGCTCTCAGGGACAAAGCAGTGTCTTTGATATAAAGGGCCATTTAAACATGAGCTTAAAATGTAAAATTAAGAGAGGTGATATGTCAATAATTTTTTCTTCTTTAGGAATGACTTATTCCTACAAAGTGGATAGATGGCAGTCCTTAACGGGTTACAAAAAGTGTGTGTGTACAAAATAGACACAGGCTTGTGTCTACAATGATCTTTCTGTGCATGGGATTGAAAGGTGTTTGCAAGAATGAGTAAAATGAGTTGAATTTACATTTCACATTTACATTTTCTCCACAATCGCTGATGCCAAACAAGATGCTGCTGGATATCTTTCCTTAACCCTATGATGCCATCGGAAACCATAAACAACTGTCCGCTTCAATGCCCCAAATGTATTAAAAGAAGATATGCCATTTGAAGCTGGGATAGTGGTCCATGTTTCCCCTTGTGCTTTGTTGTGATCTAATTAGGTTATGTCTCAAACATGATTTTTTGTGTGTGCTTTCAGGAGATACACATCCACAAGAGATGATTCCAAGTAAGAAGAGCGCTGTTCTCGTGGATGGGGTTGTACTGAATGGCCCCACGACAGATGCAAGAGCAGGAGAAAAGTTTGTTGAAGAGGCCTGTAAGCTAATAATGGAAGAGGTGGTTTTGAAGGCTACAGATGTCAATGAGAAGGTAAAACTAAAAGATACCTATTAGAAACCCCTGGAATGGGAAAGATAGGTTCTTTCCAAATTTGATGGTTAGATGTAAGGGAAATGGGAAGCTCATGCTATGATGGCCTCTATACCTTTGTATCAAGGGGATCCCAGCTGCCAAAGTGGGATCCCACCCAGTATCAGCTTTCCTGGAGGTGTTGGCTGTTAACTTTGCCAGCCACCATTTGTTGGGAGACTGGCTGAGACCCCAGGCCTTGAGGGCATGAAGCACAGGGATGAAGCCTTCTGCCCTATAGCCATATAGATTATAAATAAGCGGATGATCTTGATGTATACACTCTCTGAAACATACTCTGCTCTCCATTTTCTTGGGCACCTTCTTTTTGTTACTAGTAAAAAATAAGCATAATGTGGGAAAGAGTATGAAAAAATTTTAATTAGCAATAATCGCGCCTCGGATAAATCTCATTGGCTATGATACTGCCACTGTGCAAAGCTAAGAGTATGAAAAAATTTTAAGTTTATCTGAGGATCCTTCCCAGGAGCTGGTCTGAGCTTAGACTGGAAAACTTGAATTGTTAAGTCTGATTTCTGACTGGCACCAATTACTGGTTCTAGGTCTCAAATTCAGGCTCAAGTTCAGATTCAAACTGATAATGCAATTATTACTAACGACTTCTACTTTTTTTAAAAGATTTTATTTATTTACTTGAGAGAGAGAGAGAGCACAAGAAGGGGGGAGTGGCAGGGAGGGGCAGAAGACGAAGCAGGCTCCCCGCTCAGCAGGGAGCCCGATATGCGGCTCAATCCCAGGACCCTGAGATCATGAACTGAACCGAAGGGGGATGCTTAACCGACTGAGCCACCCAGTTGCCCCAAATGACTTCTACTCTTAAGAGTACTTACTATGTGCCAGATGATGTTCTCAGGACTACTCCATATGAATTTGTGTATTTAAGTCTTACAAAAACACTAAGAAGTAGGGGCTATATATTAACTCTTTTTTAGGGACGAGGAAAGAAGTGAGGCACAGGGAGGTCAAGTGCTTTGCCCAAGATCACATGTTAGTGAGTATCAGAGCTGTTGGCACTAAAATCCAGGTAGTCTGGCTTCAGTCTGGGCCTTTAACTTCTCTTGTATGTCTCTTACAATCGCTAAATTATCCTTTATCACATTGATTATCTTTCATATTGAAATTGAATTATCAGCAAATAGAGGAGGGATTTTTATTCCAATTCGGTTAGTCAAAAATAAATGTCATTTAAAAAAAAAGATTTTGAATGTGAAGTGATATTTATTCTGAATTTTTGATCACATGCATTTGGGAAAACTAATAGGGATATAGATCAAAATATCCTGTAAATTTAGAATAGCTATATTCAAGGCAAAAATCACTGATGGTATTTCTTGATATATATTTATAATTGCATATTTTCTGGTCTTATCTGTACTTGTGAAATATTTTGGACCTGCTTTACTTTGGAGCTCACTGCTTTTCTGGTAAGCTTTTTTTCTTTTTTAATTGGACTTTATTCAGTCATTAAATATTAACTGAGCGTTAGCTATGGGTAAGCCATTGTATTTGGCCCTGGGGGATATAAAGACAAATAAGACAAAGGCTCAGCTTTGAACAGAATTTACAGTCTAGTTGGAAGGATAAGTTTTCATTGAAAAAGAGAACAGGGGGTCCCAGTAAGAATGTGATAAATGGGTGTGATTTCGTAGAGGAGTGGGTGCTCTGAGCTTTGATGTGGGATGTGAAGGTCAAGTAAGATTTTGATGGGCAGGGAGAAGTTGACCCATGTGTGTTGAGGAAAGCAGGAAGGTAAAGGATGGAAAGAGCATTGCAAAAGGAAACTTTCTGCCTAGAAGGAAGGGCTCATATAGGTGACTAATGGAAGGTAAGACAAGAAGGAGAGGCTTAAGATCCTAAGTCATCAATGAAGGAACCCCACGCTGATTGCAGTACAGTAGCCCTGCAGGCTATCCACCTGAACTTGGGTTGAAAACGATGTTGCAGTTGGGGGGAGGAGGTGGAGTTTTTATGCTACCAACTTCATCTAGCGTTGTCAGCGATCCAACAGGCACCATGAAAAGTGACCTTCAGATACATGCCCGTACTTTCTGAGATGAGTACTTCTAACACCTTCTCTTGTAGATATTCTTTCTCAGCCACTTTTTTAAAAAATTGAGTTATACTTTACATCTAGTAAAATTTGCTCCTTTTTTGGTGTGGAGTCATATGAGTTTGCTAAGCCATGTAACTATACCACAATCAAGATATAGAGCAGTTCCATCACCCCCAGATTTCCCTGTGCCTCTCTATAGTCAGCCCTGCCCCTTACCTTAGCTCCTGACAGCCGTTGATCTGTCTTCTGTGCCTGTATTTTTCGCCTTCTCCAGAATGTCGGACAGGTGGAATCCTATCACAAGAGGCCCTATGAGTCTTGCAATTTTCCCTCTGCAAAATGCATTTGAGATTTAATCATGTTGTTGTGTAGACAGGGATACATCATTTAACTGCATTTCCCATTTTCTTGCACTTTGCAAATAGTATGATTTTTACAATTTGGAGGTTTGTAGCATCTCTGCATCCAGCAAGTCTATCGGTGCCATTTTTCCAACAGCATTTGCTCACTTTGTGTCTCTGTGTCAATTTTTGATAATTCTCACAGTATTTTAAACGTTTTCATTATTATTGGACTTGTTACATATTATAACATATTACAAAACATATTATATATATTATAACATCATATCATAAAATATAACAATATTTTTTATAGTTTGTTATAACCAGGGATCTCTGATGTTACTCTTGTAATTGTTTTGAGGGACCACAAACTGCACCCATATAAGACAGTGAACGTACTGATAACATTGTGTGTGTTCTGACTATTCTACTCACTGGCAGTTCCCCTGTCTCTCTCCCTCTCCTTGGGTCTCCCTATTCTGAGACACAATAAGATTGAAATAAGGCCAGTGAATAACCCTGCAATGGCCTCTAAGTGATCATCTGAAAGGAAGAGGTGCACATCTGTCAATTTAAATCAAAAGCTAGGAATGAAGCAGCTTAGTGAGGAAGGCACTTGGAAAGCTGACATGGGCCAAAAGCTAGGCCTTTTGCCCCAGACAGCTGCATTGTGACTACAAAAGGAAAAGTTCTTGAAGGAAATTAAAAGTGCTACTGCAGCAAACACATGAATGATAGGGAGTAAAACAACCTTATTGCTGATCTGGAGAAAGGTTTAGTGGTCTGGATAGGTCAGACCAGCCACAATATTCTCTTAAGCAATATTATCTCAAGGCTGTGTCCTTGGAGCAGCCTCTGGGAGCAGGAGACACAAGCAGAACCCACATTCCAGGAGCTGGGGAGGGGGTGAGGAACCTCCAAGGGCCCAGGTCCAGCTTGTAGGTCATCCGATGGTCACCTCTTCTTAATGACCTCTTCCAACAAGTATTTTTTTTTAATTCAGGCATGTAAATTTTTTAGACATAATGTTATTGCACACCGAATAGACTTGATGGTCCAGGGTAAACATAACTTTTATATGCACTGGGAAACCAAAATCTTTGTTTGACCCACTTTATTTCAATATTCCCTTTATTGAACCAAACCTACAGTATCTCTGAGATATTCTCTATCAGTAGTCATTCCTTTGGATTGTCTTAGTCACTTTTGATTTACCTCTGCCTATTATGGTTCTCACATCAGAGTTTAATTTCATACCTCTTGTACAACTCATTATTTCTTCCTGCTTTCCCTAACCTCCCACCTCCTAGTCTCCTGACTTCCTGGCTACTCCCCTGTCTCTCTCTTCCCCTCCACAGCCGAACTTTTTAAAGATTGTCTATGCTCCTTCCCTCCCTCTCTTTCCTCACCTCCCACACCCTCACTCCATGGCAATCTGGCCTCCACTCCCACCTCTCTAAGTCAAACCGCTCTTGCCAAGAACACCTCCTTGTTGATAAATCCCATGAGCACTTCTCAGTCTTTATCAAATTGGGCTTCTCAACAGGATTTGATAGTGATGACCGTCTTCTCCTTAAAACATTCTGTTTTCTTTGTTTTAGTAGCACTGAACTCTTCTCAGATAGTCCCTGCTTCTCTGGCTTGTCCTCCACCTCACAAGTGAGCTCCTCTCCCTTTGCCCATATCTTAAGCGGTGGTGGTGTCCAGGCGAGATCCCATGCCTTTCCTCTTAGTGGTAGATTCTCTCTGAGTGTGTCCCCCATGGTGTATTATCATGGTGGATGTCTGGAACTCTGTTCTTGGTCTCTCACAAGAGCTTCAGACCAACTGCTGCACCCCTTTTAGATGTCCTGAGAGGCCTCAGACTACATATGCCCAAAGCTCATCATCCCCACCAAATCCCCACCCCAAACCAAATTCTTTTTCTCATCACCACCATCAACCCGTGTGTGTAAGCTATAGACGACAGGGTTGTCCTTGGCTCATTCCTCACCCTCATCCTTGCCGTGTAATTAATTTCTGAGTTCTGTTGTTTCTGCATTTTAAATATCTCTGGAAATACTTCATTCCAGTAATATCTGCCTCATCCAGAATACCACCTTCTCTTGCCTGGTTTATTACAGTCACCTCTTACTTCCGATTTTACTTGGAATCTCCATATAGCAACTAAAGCTATTGGCCAAAACACAAACATGTTCATATCATTCCCCTGTCCAAAACATTTCAACTGCTGCCCTAGAACCAAGTTCAAACTCTGTAACATGCCACAGAAATCTGTCATGATCTGAGTCTCATTTCATTCATTAATTCATTCATTCATTTATTCATTCGCTCATTCATCTTTTCATTCACCACATCGTTGTGGAGCATCTCTTGTGTGGTAGGAACTGTATTCATTACTTGAGAGCAGTGAGCAAACAGATGGACATCTCTGCTCTCATGGAGACTATGTGGGACAGAATAAATGAATCACATGGTATGTTGAAAGATGAGAAGTGTAATGGAAAAAGGAAGAGCAGGAAAAGATGAGGGGCTGATAGGGCTGGGGTAATGTGAAGCTTGTGACTTTATAGGGGAATCAGGGTTGCTATCTTTGAGAAAGTGATTTTTGAGCAAAGCTTTGAAAGAACTGAGGAGGTTAGGCAGGAGGACATTTGGGGCAGGAGTATCCAGGCAGAGGGCACAGCCAGTGTGAAGACCCTAAGGGGGGCAGTGTGCCTGGTGTGTTTAAGGAACAGCAAGGAGGTCAGGGTGGTGGGGCAGAGTCAGCCAGGAGGAAGACAGTACTAGACTGGAGAGGAAACTCCATGAAGGAAAGCAGATTATACAGGTTCATTTGAAGTCATTATGAGGATGTTGGCTTTACTTTGAAAGAAGTGAGCCACTGAGATATTTTAGCAGAGGAACGGCGGTAGTTTAGATTTAAGAGGATCATTCCGGATTCTGGCTGCCAGGTTGATAGCCTGTAGAGGTCAAGGGTAAGGGTACAAGCAGAGAGACTAGCGGGGAAATTATTTTGGCATTCCAGCCTCACTTCTTGCCTCTCCTTCCTCCAACCCCATGTTCTAGCCACACCAAACTAACTTCATTCTTCAGATTTGCCCTTTCAGCTTTTACGACCTCTGTTCCTTCCACCTAGAGTGCCTGCTTGCCTTCCCCCATCCCCTAATCTTTGCTTGGTTTGAAATCAGTTCCTCCAGGAAAACTTTGACCTTCCAAATCAAAGATGGGGCCCCTCATTTGTTCCAGTGACATCTGGGTCACCATCCCATATTTTTCCCCCTGGACTAGGGTTGTACATTTAAATCTCAGTCTCTCCCACTTGTCTGGAATCTTCGTGAGGGTAGGGTCCATGATGCTAACATCTTCTCGCTACCTGGCTCCTGTGGGAGCTCAATTAACTGCCATTGCTGAATGTCCAGGTTTGTGAGTGGCGGCCCCCTGAACAGCTGAAACAACTTCTTGATTTGGAGATGAGGGACATGGGAGAGCCACACCACAGGCTGTTGGAGCTCTGCCAGGATGTCATACGCTACAGCGTCAAAACTAGTAAGACCTTTCATTTGCCTCCTTGATCTGTATCCCTAACAAGTTCTTATATTTTCTTCAGCACATACTTACTCATAGTAAAACTGAGTATGACAGTGTTTCTGGGATAAGAAAGCTGGATCAAAAAATAGTGGTTCTGATATTTTTACAATGGGCCACTTAATCCATAATACAGACCTTTTTTTTTTTTTTTGTCAAGACAAAGATACATGGATAGAAAAACTGTTGGCGTTAGTGATCATTCAGAAATACGATCTGCTCCTTGGCAATCCCCATCCTCCATTTATAATCAAGACCATATATGACGACTGCTACTTATCATTTCTTACATTGGTCCAAACTGGCAAAGCATAGTTTGATTATAGAATTCATTAAGGGATTTCAAATCTTGATGGCCCAGAATGTGCAAAAAAAAAAAAAAAATGTTCAGGAGGATGTTTTTACTATAAACAGGAATAGATGGGAAGATACTGATGGAGTCTTGGCAGTTAATAATTGCCAAATTATTTTATCAAATCTAGCAGGATCAAAAATAAAAACCTTTAGGAAAGTGTACAAGGAAATGAATACATGGTAAGTTTCTGCTGTGATAGCTTCGCCATAATGCTTAACCACTACGATCTTCTGTGAATGCAGTAGCATGGTATTAGTCTTGTGCTGACATACTAGTCCAACTGCTAATATCCCATACACCCAGTGAACAAGTTCCAGAGTAAGGAAGGAACTTTCCAAAATATGCATTTCGCAGTGTGCTGTAAAGGTAATCTAGTGCTTAAGACCATGCAGGCATTATGCTTTGTGAATTCTGACACTGAACTAAATTTAGTGGAAAGAACATAATAAAATCCTGGCTAAAAATAATTGGTTTATATTCCCTTGGGAAAATCTGGTGTATGTATCAAAAACCCAGTTAGCATTTCAAAAGCAGAGATACATATCTTATTATTATAGTGCATGTCAGAAGTGTAGAATGACATTTAATGCAGAAGATTTTTCAGTTTACTGGATATTTTCCATAATGTTACCATGGAACTCAATCATAAATTAACACGAAACTAAAAAAAAAAATCTTATTAAAATTACTTGCAGCAACGTTTGGTTTCCTTTGCCAGAGTAGAGGAAGTTTTCCATATTTTATTTAAAAAAACATTTTCTTGGGCTTTTGTTTTTTATTGAACCCCTAGTTTAAAGAGAAAAAAACCCTAAAACCAAATGCTGTGAGTGGTAATGAGAAGTCACTAACTAAAAAGTTTCCCAAATACTCAAATTTAGAAACAGACCTCCTGCCTTCTTGTTCTTTGTCATGCTGGGCTTCCTATGATTGAGAATGTCAAGTCAGTTAGCCTAGTGTTTGGTGTGAATATTCACACTGTGGAAAGCCAAGAACCTTTATGAGACCTTTTATAGAGGGGAAAAAAAATAGAAAGTTGGAACTGAAGTTGAGTCTTAAAGGCTACTGCCTTTGAAGTAAGTTGAATTAGAAAGTTTATGTAAGCCACATGATGAGTCACATCTTACTCCCATCTACATAATGTCAGTTGCACTATGAAAAATGGTGCAATCTGAAAAATGAAAAGGCCACTCACTGCTGGTAGCCCGAAGTGAACTCTGTTGGTGAGTGAAATGCGTTTAAAGATAGGGAAGATGGGGATTATCTTCTGAAGATAAAGGTAGCAGGCTTTGATACCTGCACAAATAGTTTGAGTAATCCAGTTCTCAAGGGTTCTGGTTTGGAGCTGGGGTGTAGAAAAAGGGGAGTAGATAAACCAGAGTTTTTAAGAGAGTGCCCAAGTGTTGCTTAGAAACATATTGTTTAGGAGACAGGGTTATGAGGTGGGTCTTCAAAATTTGTTCCCCTTGCACATGATTAGATTTTGAATTCTTTTTAAAACTGAGGCATAGTTTACGGTCAGTAGAGTGGACGGATCTCAAGTGCTCAGTGAATTCACACATAACTGTGCATAACCATCACCCAGATCAAGATGTTGACCCTTCCCGCCACTCCAGAGCCTTCCTCAAGCCCCCTCCTAATCAATATCAACTTCCCAAAGGTACTCAGAATTCTAACCTCAGTCTCCATAGGTCATCTTTGCCTCATATTGAGTGTTATGTAAGTAGATTCATGCAGTGTATACTCTTTTGTATCTGGCTGCGTTCACTGTCTGAAAGATTGATTTATGTTACCGCTGTATGGAGAGTCTTTTTTGTTTTTATTGCTGTGTAGATGAATGCTCTGCTTAAATTTACAGACCATCCAAGATTTTTCAACCAGTTGTATGCTGGACTTGATTATTATTCCTTGGTGGCCCGATTTATGACAGAAGCATTAAACCCAAGTGTGTAAGTACCATTTTACTGGACTCTTACATAGAGCATGCATTAGAGATGTTTTTTAAGTAGACGAAGTTTTTTTTCTTGAATTTCTATTTCATGGTTTCATTTGTACAGTGTCATCATAAATAATGGAATGACACTTAGCAGTATTTTAAAGAGTTATTTGATTTGATAGTGGTACTGTAAGATGGTTAATGCAGGCATGGTTATCTCCACTTAACAGATGAGAAAATTGATTAAGCAACTTGTCATCCATTCCTGCATGAAAAGCCATGTCTCTGCTAAGTGCCGGAGAGATACTTTGAATAGAAGCAAACTTTGACTTGGCCTTCATGAAGCAAAAAGTCTAGTGAGATGGAGATACTCCATGCAAATTCATCAAAATTATCTACACAAATTAATGTAAAATTTTAATTTGCATATGAAGAGGTAGATGATGCTATAAATATAAGTGGGACAATTTTTCCTAGTTGGGAGCTCAGGAAAGTCTTCTCTGAGGAAATGACAACTAAGAGCTGAAGAATGAGTAAGGGTTTACTAGGTGAAAAGAGAAGAGACGAGTTTCAAACAGAGAGAACAGCATGCACAAACGCCCTGTGGCAGGAGGCAGAATGGCGTACCTTATGAACTGAAAGGTCAGTGAAGGTGTCGCTCAGAAAGCGATGGGGAGCATAATGGAGGATATGATTGGAGAAATGGTTAGGAACCAGATATGCAAGACCCAGTGGGCCATGTTTATGAGTTATTCTAAGTACAAAGGAAAGCCTTTAAAGGTTTCTAAATCATTAGATGCCATTTGCTTATTGAAAAGATCACTTGAAATATGGAGAGTGAATTGGAGGGGACCAATCAGGAGGGCATTATCTTAGGTGAGAGATGGCAGTAGCTTGAACTTAGACAGAAGTGGTAAGAAAAGAGAGAGAGAAAAATTGTTTAGAGGATAAAACAGAAAGATCTGGATAATATATCGAACCTTGGGAATGAGGACAAGAAGGAGGTTTATACAATGATCCTTGGGTTTCTGGCTTTTTTAGCTGTGTTGATGGTCATGTCATTCATTGATATAAGAAGCATAGGAAGAGGGGACCAGTTTTCAGGGATGTGATGAAAAAGGCAAGAGCAATAATTTAATTTTCAATTGCAAGAATTTGAGTTTGCAGTGACTCTGAGCTATTCAAGAGTATGTTATCAGCCAAGCTGAGAGATATACAGGCCTGGAATTCCGATATCTCTATGAAAGTTATCAATTTAGGAGTTACTGGGGAATGATGTGTAATTGAAAAGTATGTGTGGATGAGATTCCTAAAGTCAGTGAATCTCAACTCTTCCTGTTCATCAGAATCAACCTGGGACATTTCCAAAAAATATATTGAGGCCTGGGTCCCAACCCAGACCAATTAAGTCTGAATTTCTATGGCTGTGTCCCAAGCACTGATATATTTTCAAAGCCAAACAAATGATTTTGATGAACAGGATGAAGACACTTTGAACAAAAACAAACCAGGGGATGGAGAAGCAGTGTCTGCAAGACAGAATATAGAGTGAGGACAGAAGCATAGGACTGGGCCTTGAGGACATCTAATAATCTCATGGTTAGGAGGAAGAAGACCAGCCTACAATGGAGAGACAGAGGAAAAGGAGAAACTCAACCAGGAAGGCATGGAAACCATGGAGCAGAGTGTGTCTAGAATCATAATACTATTGAGTGTTTAACTAAGACAGAGACTAAAAATTGTCCCTTGAATTGGCAACACAGATGTCATTGGTGACTTCAGTTAGAGAAGGCTTGGTGGGGTAATGTGAGATGATACCAGTTTATAGTGAGTAGAAGAGGTAAGTGGTAGATGGGCCGGAAGAGACAGTAAAATTACCCAACTCTCTGAACCTTTCCTTCTATGTCCTGGGTTTTCTAACTTCTCGTCTGGGTTCTTTTCACTGAAACATGGAGCGGTTTGCAAAGTATTAAGTTGTTGCTAAGCTGAACAATCCACTCAAAATGTGAGCAAGCCATGAGAGCATCCCATATCGTCCTCTCCTCCAACTCCATGCCTGTCCCCAGGTTTACAGTTGAGCCAGCTTTCAAAGGCAGGCTTCATATTATTTTTTTTTAAGTGAACAATTATTTCACTTATATTTGCAGGTGCACATAAACACATAGACTTTTTCCCACACTTCTGATATGTGTGAACTGGCTTCCTAGCATGGTTGAAAGTAGAACCTGGATTGTTTGAAAATTAACATGATGTCTGTAGAGTGCTTGGCACGTAGGGAGGTAGGGAGGTGACACATAATAGGTGTTCTGTTTTTTTGTTGTTGTTGTTTCATTTCATTTTGTGTTTTTGTTTTGCCTCATTTCCAAAGTTTTCCCTTCTGGGTGTTAAAATATTCACATTCAATTCTGTGAGTGCAAATCTAGGTGTGTCTGCATGGCTTATATATTTGGAGTACAAGTTTATTCAGATACACTTTAATGTAATGGCTTAATTGTTAGAGGAGATTATAGATAATTTAGTCACCCTCAAGTTACCTAGAGAAAGAAGAGACTCAAATATTATGAAACAAGGCATGGTAACCCTCCCAGGTGGGGTTCCCTGGGAAACTGCTCTAGATGGAGTTTAGTGAGCAAGGTGTTTATTAAGGAATGCCCTTGGGATCCACATGGGTGATGGGAGGGTAAGGCAACAGGAGTGGGCAGAGCCAGAAGTCAAGCCGTCATGGGGCCTCAATGGTAACCTCGGCTGACTCCCTGGAGATCTCTGGAGCTATAGTGGCCCTTGAGAGTGGTCTGGAGTTGGGCCCATATGGCCAGGCCTTTACACCTGGCTGTGACCTTGGGAAAGGTAGCTCCCTGAAGCTGAGGCAGTTCGTTCGAAAAGGGGCTAACTTCGTGTTCTCCCACAACAACGGTCCAGCCTGGAGCAACAAAACCTTCAAGGACAGGGGATTTGGGCAGTGCTTTGCAATAAAATCACATGATAAGAGAGGCCCCACAGAGCACTTCCCATTTGGGCCAGCATAGGAATGTAGTGGAGAAAACCCTAGTTCAGGGTGAGTAGTTTCCCTGTAGAATAGCCAGAGCTGACTGTTAGGGTACTCATGATAGGAACCTAATAAAACCTGGTTACCATGACAGTGGTTTTTCTTTCTTTCTTTCTTTTTTAAAGAATTTATTTATTTGAGAGAAAGAGAGAGAGAGAGCAAGTACAAACTGGGGGGAGGGGCAGAGGGAGAGGGAGAAGCAGACCCCCCACTGAGCAAGGAGCCCAATGTGGGCCTCGATCCCAGGACCCCGAGATCATGACCCAATCCGAAGGCAGTTGCTCAACTGGTTGAGCCACCCAGGCACCTGACAATGGTTTTTCTTTAACCAGCATCCAAAGCAGCATCCAAAGAATGAAATGGCCACGGCTCATGGCTAATACAAAGAATCTAGATGCACTTCCTTTATCGCTCCCAGTGGACCTGAAGGGTTCCTGTAAATTACGACTGCTGAAGTAGCTTGCGTATCCCTAAGGCCCCCACCTATTGTCATCTATCAAACCATGACTAGCACTCTCACCGACTGCACATTTCTCTATTTCCAATTGGATAAATTTCCAAAGACTCTACCTGCACTTCCATAGCCACTTGGTTGAATAAAGCTCTATGTGTAACTCTAGTCATAGAAGTGAAGTGTTTTTTATATCTATCTAGTTATACGTATGAGGTGTCCCCAGTGTTTCTGTTAGTGGAAGAAGCGGTTCTGAAGAAAATGATTGAATTTATTGGCTGGAAAGAAGGGGATGGAATATTTAACCCAGGTAAGTACAGCTAGTTATTGCCATCTCCCTTCCACTGCAAACACCTAAACATTTATTTATGTGTTATATGAAGAACAGCTCCTTGAAGATTTACAAATTCCAAAAAGTTGGTTAGCAATAATTCTACTTGTTGAGAATCTAGCTCATTCCTTTCTCCAGAGTGGCAACATTTTGCATAAATGCTAAACAACTGACATAAACGTTAAACCAAGGAGATGTCTACAATTTAGGATTTGTATCTTACAAATGAAATTATCTGCTGCTGGGAATTTGGAAGGGCTATAAATTTTTCAATCCATTCTACTTGAGAAGGTTTCTGAATCACATGTTGTTTGTCCTACAGCCCTTTCTCGGGACCAGAGATGAGCTTGTATCCTCATCTTATTGGTCAGGTGACAGACAGAATACCATTAACTATGAAGACTTGGGTGCTGGCCCTTGTCCGTAGATTGAAACTTTTAGTTTGGAAAAACTCTGGAATGAGAGAAGAGACCAAAACTTCAGTCTTTGCTGAGATTGGAAATTGCTGTAATTGGGGGTTAGGAAGTGGGTGAGAGTCATGGGTGGGGCACGCTGCTCGGATGACTCTTGGGGGGATCCTTCGTTAGACTAGAATGGCCATAGCCGTTGATGTCTTCCCCTGTGGTTGGCACTTAGGGAGCTATGATTTCATGCTATAAAGATGCCATTTCAATTTTGTTTTTTGCAGGTGGTTCAGTGTCCAATATGTATGCAATGAATTTAGCTAGATACAAATATTGTCCTGATATTAAGGAAAAGGGGCTGTCTGGGTTGCCAAGATTAATCCTTTTCACATCTGCAGAGGTAAAAAATTATTTTTTATATCAGATACAGATTTTCAGAGAAAGCATTATTTAAGGGGGCTTGTTTGTTTGGGACTTCTGATATGCTTTTATCCTAAGCGTGTGTGACTAATATGCCTAAGTATAATGTCATATTTCATTCCAAAGGAAATTCTGATGGGTTTGATATTGTAACCCCTGGCCACTCAATTTTGTACATCACCTTTATTTAAAATTTATAGTCTATAGCATTTTTCTCTGAGAAAAGAGAACATTCAATTTGAAACTGCTATCTCTTCCTGTGAATCTCTTCTTTGAGTGCCTTATTTATTAGAACTTAGATGATCGCTCAGCTCTGTCAGAAGCCTCACATTGCCTTGTAAAACTGATTGCTTCAAATGTGTAACACAAAGGCTTTTCAAGAGGAAAGGGAGATATTCCGAAATGGTGAACATCACACACCCACCCCCCCACTCCCCACATTGCATGTTGCCACAATCCCCTATGGCCTTTTACTCCTCACCAAAGTAGGGAGGTCTGACTGTGGGTAAGTACATTGGCTTTGAGCTAGGCTGCCTGCATTCAGTTCTTGTCGCCACTACTATCTGAGTGACCTTGGGTAGGTTGATTAATTCCTCTGTGCCTCAGTTTCCTAATTTGTTAAAATAAGTATCAGCTAGCTGTTGTCTCTAACAAATTACCCCAAAGCCCAGTGGTGTAGAACTAGAGCTAGATATCATTGCTTTACAAGTCTTGGGATAGCTGGGACTCTTCTGCTGCTCTTGGTGGGGCTCCCTTATGTATCTGGGGGTTGGCTGCCCAATGGCTGAGGTAGGAGTGGGCCTGACCAGGATGACTCCAGTGAGGTCTCTCTGCTCCATGCATCTCTCATCCTCCAGCAGGCTAGTCCAGGTGTGTAGTCATGGCGGGGGTCCAGGGGAAAAACAACATCGACACCCACCAGGCCTCTCGAGTCTAGGCTCAGAGCTGGTACATTGTCATTTCCACCTCATTTTCTCAGTGAAGCAAGTGATGTCGATGAGCTCAGATCCAAGAATTGGGAAAACAGACTCCATCTTGTAGGTGGACTTGCTGCAAAGTCCCCTGGCAAAGGACATGGACACAGGGAGAAGGGAACCATTTGGGGCCATCCTAACCACCCAGGAGCCACATGAGCTCAGTAGTCATGGCTAAGTGGGTTGTTGCAGAGACTGAATGAGCTAATGCATGGAAAGTAGCATCTGGCACATTATAGATACACAAAAACGTTAGCTAGTTTTCTTAGGAGGAGGAGAATTACCTAGCTGTCATAATGTGGGTAGAATGGATAGCACAGCTGAAGTACAGTCTCATCTGAAAGAGATTATTTTTTTCCTTTCCTCTTCTTGTGCCATTCCAGTGGGTGCCTCTGTCTATCCCACCACTGCTTCCTGCCCCCATCCCTGGCAGGAAGAGTTTAGCTTCCGTACCTTCTCTGATAATCCAAGGTCTCCTGTGAAACACATGAGGCGAGCAAACTCTAAACGTTCTCTGTTATTTCCAGCTGGCCTTTCCTGTATCTGTCATTTTCTTTTACGAGCATGATTTCCTTTATTATTGCCAAGGGGTAAACTGTGGTCGAAGAGGTGGGCAGTGGAAGAAAACTTGCCCCCCGCCCATGTTTTACACCTGCCCTGGCTGACCTTTGCTCTGGTTAGTTCAGTGCCAAGTGCAAAGTGGGTGCTGAGTGTGGGGAGGCGTCTGGAAGAAATCTTCTAATCTTAACTCAGCCCTTCTTTGTGAAAGCTTTTCTAGAGCAAGCGAAGAATGTTTGGGAATGGAGACATCTGGGGAAAACACTTGGTACTTTGGGATTATTATGGAGTTGAGTTTCCCTTTCTGGGTTCCAAACTTTGGCATTTCAGTTGGAGGAAGCCAGCATATCCAAAATGCAAAGTCTCTTCTTTTGAATTGTTGCTCCCATGCCTGAGAAAGCTGATTCAGCAGGGCCCCTGCTTTCAGCTCAGTGCTTTTACTTTTGCCTTCTTCATTCATTGGCTTAAAATGTACCTGAGGTCTCTTCTGGAATAATTGCTCTGGAAAGGGGGAAGGAATTCTATGGAAGCCTAGAATAAAGATTATGCCTGGGAGAGATCAGGGACATAGGTGTAGCTGGCAGATTGGGAGTGAAAAGAAATTGAAACCTCATGCAGTTGGGAAAACAGAACTAGTATTATTTTTTTTAATCTCCAGTGGAGATATATATGCAAAAAGAGGTCAAATATATGCCCCGGCTAACATGGCAGCAGAAGATGGAGCCAGAAAACCAAGAACTAAATATACATCTTAGTTTACTTGGGTTGCTGTAACAAAATATCATAGACCAGCTGGTGTAAAAAACTGACATTTATTCCTCACCGTGCTGGAGGCTGGGAAGTCCAAGTTCAAGGTGGTGGTAGATTTGGTTATCTGATGAGAGCCTGGTTCCTGGTTTGGGGACCACAGTGTGCTCACATGGCCTTTCCTGGGCTCGTGCTAGGGGACAGAGGGAGAGGTCTCTGTCTTCTCTCCGGATGAGGGCAGTAATCCCATGAGAGTCTCACCCTCTTGACCTCATCCCAACCTAATCCTACCACATTGGGCGTTAGGAATTAAACACATGAATTTTGAGGGGACACAAGCATTCAGCTCATATCAGTGTGAATGCCACAGAAAAACTCCATAGCTTCAAACACATGATAGCTCCAAATACAGATTTTTACCCCATTCATCCAGACTCTACCTTGTTGCTCATTCCTTTCCCTGCTCTGCCAAAGAGACTGAGGTCATAATAGTTGCATGATTTTAATTCATATTTTGGCAATCACCTTCACCACTTACTACAACAAATCAATTCATCGGTTAAAAAAAAAAGAATTAAAGACGGTTGTGTTTCCTCAATGGTCTTAAACCCTATGTTAGGCTTTTTGCTTTTTGCAAATCTTGTTTGCTTTTAGGTGTTGGCCAAGGCCCTGTGGTTATTTTCCAGTACCGTTTATTGGGTGGTCTTCTTTTTCCTGTTTTGTGTGGCCTCCAGGGTAACCACTCCATCCCCGACTTATACCATCAAATGCAGAGTATATGCACTCACCACTGGAGGTGTATTTGCATATTTGAGGTTTTGATTATAATTTCACTGTCCATGGAGACTTGGAACATCATGATAGAGCCCCCTGCACTGTCCATGTATCCACAGTAGCCTCCCCAGGCTGAATAGGAACCAAAGAGAAGGGACTTTTGGAGAAAAGTAATAAATTTGTGGCTTGATTAGCAGTTAGATATAAATTCCTTGAATTTAAAGAAATCGTAGGTTTATAATTCAAGTCCTTTTGGGAATCAGCATAAAGTAATGATCATTGTCTGCTACTAAAAAGTGAGGGAAGAAGAGAAACCCTGACCTCCCGGGCCAGCCAGCAGGCGGCCTTGTTCCTCTCTAGCAGGATGGAGGCTGGGATGGGGCGAGAGAGACCAGGGTACACTTCTCAAGGTCATGCCTCCTCACATACCTCATTCACTCACCCTCTTCGTGGCCCTTCTGTCTAGGCGAGTCTGACTGGAGTTTGGATGTTAGTGCAGGCATTCTCCCTCAGCGAGCAGGTGCTTCTTAGGACGTCAGGCGGAGCATAGAGTAGCCCATCTGAATTCTGACTCTGCTTTGGGAATTGAGCGAGCTGTGTGCTCTTGGAAAGGTCCCTGTACTACGTTCCTTTTCTTCATTCCCCAACAGAGGACATTCGCAGACCCCGGTTTCCCCACCACCTGGAGCTCATTTGAGCACCAGACTAGTCAGCCCTAGAAGGAGTCCAAGTGCCCAGCACACAATCTACTCGAGGGGGAAAGCTGCAGTTCCTTGGGAAACCCAAGGTCAAAGAAAAAATCCTTGCAGGAACCGGAAAGGAAAATGTCAGTGCACTTCTATCTTTCATAGGGGCACTTGCTGTTTCATCGTTATAGGAATAAATGCCCACTGAGATTTTTGTGTCTTCCATAGACGAATGAAACCTGGAGGGGAGACTGGGTCTTAGAACGAATGACTGACTTATCTTTTGCCAGAGAGGGGAGCAAATACCATTTGTTTCTAAAGGCAGCAGCTACTTCTGAACTCCGGCCTTCTAGGTTTTTCCTTTCCTTGCAACTACTCAGCACATCTGAAGCATTGCCTTCTTTCTTTCTTTTCTTTTTCTTTTTTTGTCTCTTCCAGGGCTCTTTTCCTCCTCTGATGCCTTTAGATGTTTAGACTTCAGTTTTGCAGACATTTTTTTTTTTTATCTGTCTCTATCCATTTGAGATTGACATTGGATTCTACTTTGCCCTGGGGTAGCCAAATATAGCCCCACCAAAGTTACTCTTCATCAGCATACCAGTTTTTTAATTCAGCAGACCCATTGGTTGGGGACACTCTGCTGTTTTTTAGGGCAAAGCAATGTGATTTTCCTTATTGGCAAATGCCAGTGGAATAGGCTACTCTTTATCACCATGAGATCAATAGTTGGTTGCTAGAGTCCAAGTCTCTGGTGAGAAAGAATTCACCTTGGCTATGTCACCTAGCTAGGGTGGGCTGATGTAGCAAGTAGAGAATTAATTACATTTTCATGTACATTCTTACTCTTCAATATGCACATGTTCTTCTAACAACTGGAAGTGAGTGCATCCTACAGGCATTTGGCCGTGTCCTATTTGATACCTGGAAATTAATTATGTAGGATGGTTTCATTTTTCCTGGTGATGTTACTTCTGCATTTATTTTGATAGAGTTGAAAAAAAAAAGAGCTTCCAATAAAACTTTCTTGACAAAAGAAGAAAAAAATTACCACATTTGAGGGACTATATCAAGTTAAGTGTGAAGGCATGACTACTCTTTTAATGTATTCATACCTACAAATTAAATTACTAAGGGTTTTTGGTACAATAATGTCCTTTAGCACCTTCATTTTTCTGGCACGAGAAGGAATTAATTGACCACCTGTCCACACTAATGTATAAAGAGTGACATCTCCAATGTTTGAATGCTAATTATTTTATAGGCTTTATGTAGTAGGGAAGAAAAGGCCCAACAATCTAAGGCATATACTACCATTTCCAGTAAGAACTAGACCAGACCTAATTCTAGAGCCTCCTATTAGCCTCCTATTCATGCCAGGGCTGCATAAAGTAAGGTGTCCATAAATTTTTATTACTTTTGTTATTAGGATTTTAGCCACATTCCTCTGTGTCTAATTTCAATCTTACATTCAGTATTAAATGAGATTGGTCAAGTGCTGGATCAGCATTTATAACCCATTGTTTGCTTTTGAAAATAATTAAATTCTTCTGTGGTTTGCGATTGCAATTTTTGAAACAGAGTCTCACTCCCTACTCAGAGGGTTTGAGTCAGCAGTGGACTGGATTCTGTTTCCATTAATGTTGAGTATTATTAGTAGCATCAAGAGAAACTTCTCTCAATGTCAGGGGAAAACAACAGCTTCCAGTGACCAAGTTTGTTCCCTAGACCAGGCTCTACGCTAAGCCTTTTACATATACTAACCCATTGAGTTCTATGAAAAGCAGATGAATTAGGCACTGACACACCCACCTGAAATTAGCAAATTGAGGCTTGGAGAGCGTACATTATTTTCTCAAGATTCCATAGCTGTAACTGGGAAAACTTGAAACTATATCCTGGTTTCTCTGATCCCAACCAAAGTCAGTGTTTTCAACCGCTATATTAAGGAGCTCGTTTGAATTACTACTTTCTTTTTCTTTTATACAATAACGTTCCAAAGATTGGGCTCAGCCTTATGACTTCAGATAATAAGCAGTGGTTTTTTTTCATGCTATGTATTCATGTTTTCCTTTTCCCCCTTGCCCCTTTTAATTTAGTGTCATTACTCTATGAAGAAAGCAGCCTCCTTTCTAGGGATTGGGACAGAGAATGTTTGCTTTGTGGAAACAGATGGAAGGTAATGGGGACAGGATCCGGAAGCCTGGTGGGCGGAGGGGGGAATTCATGCTTTTTAAAAAGCAGTACCAATGTTTGTTCATGACTAAACATACCTGAGTGCCTCAAATCTGTGTCTCCTAGAGGTAAGATGATACCTGCGGAGCTGGAGAGGCAAATCTGGCAAGCCAGCAAAGAGGTGAGAGGGGGAAGAAAACGTAGGCACGCGTCTGGGTATGAGGGAGGGAATGCAAACAGCCAGAATCGTTTCTGTATGTGGGAGAGAGAAGAGAGCTTGTTAGAATTAAAATAGGAAAACTCATTTACAGATGTTCTGTTTCCAGGTGCTTGGCTCTCCATGTTCTGTGCAGTTTCTCAGATGTTCTCATTCCCAGGTGGCTGGAGCCTATTAAAACGCTGACATCACCATATTCCCGATTCTTGCCTAGAATTAGCCTGAAAAGATGAGCCCAGCCTCTCCAGCAGGGCCCCTGCATCCACTCTCCTACCTAACTACGGGCTGAAGTTCTGGAGGCCAGGCCAATTGTCTCTGGGTTGCCTTCAGAATGATTTCGATTTCTTGATCAGTCTGTGCTCCAGGTTGCTTCCACCCAAAGCCCATCACAGGAACCATCCCCCTGTCTTGGGCCTGTGTCTAGTATGTCAGCTCTGGCAGAATGTCTGCTCTTCCTTAGCTGCCACAATATATTAAAGTTGGCATGGCCATTGCTGGGATGGCCAGGCCTTGCCCTACTCACCTGCTATACTCCAGCCAAGGCTGGGCCCTGACACCTTTGAGGTGTTCCATTGCCTTAGTGGCAGCCATCTTGCTTCTTGGACCAAAAGCCCGCTGGATTAGGTGCACCTGCTTCACTGCTTCCTCCCATCCCACCACAGCTCTCACTGCTTTGGAGCTTCAGGACTGTTCCCCCACAAGTGTCCAGTAGGTAGCAACAGAGTCGGGTGCGAAACTGCTGACAACTGAAAAGCCTTGTTTTGAGCTGGGATAGAAGTATCTCTCTCTGTCTTGTTTTGTTTTGTTTTGTTTAAAGATTTTATTTATTTATTTGAGAGAGACAGTGAGAGAGAGAGAGAGAAGAGTGTAAGCAGGGGGAGGGGCAGAGGGAGAAGCATGCTCTCCACTGAGCACAGAGCCTGACATGGGGCTCGATTCCAGGACCCTGGGATCATGACCTGAGAGGAAGGCAGATGCTTATTGACTGAGCCACCCGGGCGCCCCAGGTATATCTCTCCTTAGAGGATTCCACACTGTAAGAAAGATAGGCTCTTTTATTTTTACTTTTTGTTTTAATACATTTCTGTTATTTTACTCTTTATATTTTTAATTTTTTCATAAAAATCACCTTGTCACCAGAGCATGCTAGTTCACTGTATTTGGTTTGAAATTCTGTACTTAAAAATTCTTTTTTTTAAAAAAAGATTTTATTTATTTATTTGACAGAGAGAGACACAGAGAGAGAGAGGGAACACAAGCAGGGGGAGTGGGAGAGGGAGAAGCAGGCTTCCCGCGGAGCAG